GAACAGTGAGAGACTGAAATAGATCTCAAAGTGCAAAGTAATTTATTTCGTGGAAATATGATTTATGAGTTTAACCGTAGCTGCAAGATTATCCTAACTGGACTTTCTTGATGTTCAAACCCATAGGTATTTGCTCTCCCTATTTGAGAAAAAGCTCTTTGCTCCTGAGCCAAGGACTTGAATCACTCTAAAGTTCTTTTTCTTTTCCTTTTTTGGGGGGTGGGGGTGGGGGAGTGGAGGTTAGAACGCCCCTTCTCTCCGTTTTCACACTAATATCACCAACCTTTCCCAGAGCTGGCCCTCCGACTGCAGCTCTGTGGCCTGGGTCAGGAGAGCCCTGCCCCCTAACACCCCACTCCTCGCCGGATTTAGGGGAACTGCTTCAGGTAGAATGCAGTGTGGGACCGGGGTAGAAGGCTTCTCTTCTGCTTGTTCGAAGGACTAGGGAAATGAGCACTGTTCTGGGTTTGACTTTGTCCCTGCTGGGAATATCCCTGTTCCCGGCTTTGGGAATCTCAGGCAAATAATTGATTCTTAATGCACACTTAGGGGACAACGGTGTAAGCTCGAGAGCCTGGCTGTCCCAAGAGTGGCTGCGAGCGCACCAGACACAGGTTGGCTTGGTCCGAAGCGAATTTGGGGCCTCCGCTGTAGTTTCGTATTAGCCTTCCTGGCGCCTCAGGGACTCCTGGGTAAAGTCAGAGAGGAGTTCGAAGGCAGGACTTGATGTCGTGGAGGCAGGGACCCGGCAGCGTTGTTTTCTTGAGTTTCGGAATCATGTAGAAAAGTGACTTCGGCTGCTGAGTCTGGGCGGCGTTGGCGGCGCTGCAGCCGGGGTGGAGAGGCGCTCTCCCGACGTTGCGGCTGAGATTCGGGCGGAGGCGAAGGCCGGCGCTGCACAGGGAGCAGCAAGGTGAGGGCGCTCTTGCCCAGGACAAGCAGAGCTTTGAGTTCAGTAGCTCACACTGGCTGATGCCACGAAAACTGACTCCAGAACCTTGGCTGGCGCGCTTCCCCACCTTTTTCTTTTCTTCTTCTTCTTCTTCTGTATTCTCTCCCCACTTCCCTTTTCCCTAAAAGTTGTTTCTTTTGTTTACCTGGTACGATTTCAGATCTCAGCACTTATCTATTAGTTGATAAAACCGTTTTCTCTGTAATAGACATCTTTTCTCCTTTACATTACACTTTCCTCTTCCATTTCGCTTTCAACCCCATTTTCCTTTTCTTCCCAAGCCTGTGGTCCAAGGTGAAGAGTTTAGAAGAGGTAGCCTTGAGGTAGGAGCTCTTTTAGCACAAAGGGTGGCTCTGCGTTGGGGAGAGAGAGGCAGGGGTTTGGGTGGGCAGAGCCTCCTGTGTCTGTAGATTCTCAGGTGGTGGTCTTCAACCTTGGAAAGACAACGGGAAGGAAAGGACGATGCAGACTAGAGCTCATCCACTTCCGACGGTCCCCCTTCCCCATAAGACCCAATTCGACGCTTCAACTTCATCCTCACTTGGCCCTCTATCAAAACTTGAGGTAGGCAGCAATTTTGAAATTGTCGTAATCAGAAAAGTCATTTAAACTAAAAATTATGTTTGTGGAGGTAAGAGGGAAGATAAAATGCCCAACGTTCTTTTCATGGTCTGTTAGCTGACATATATGATCTTCTTGCCCTGGTCTTCGGTCTTTCTGAAGAGCTGCACGGGAGGAAAGCACATTTCACTTGCAAGATTTGGAGATTTGTGTCCGCGTCTGAATGAAAAGAGTGTTCAGTTGCCAGACATGTTGGGATATTCATTTTTGTTTTAGGCTTAATTTTCCTACCCAGGTAGCACTCCCGCATTGGGGCCGTCTTCTTCAGTTTTATTCCCGCTTTCCTTCCCCTTTTATTGTCTTATCCTTGGAATAGAATGTATTTAAGGTGCTAACATATCTTCCTCCACGTCTGTATGGGCAGGTTTTGTTGATTCCATTGAGCAGGAAGAGTAAAAACTGTAGTGGGGTTAGGGAGAGTTGTCTCAGTTCTTTCATTTCCTCATTGCTCTGAAACAGTGACCTGATCATTGTTGTTGGAAGTTAAATTATCTGTTAAATTAGCCCTAAACAATAACTGATGATATTTTCTATTTTGGTCTGGTTGCCCCTGAATTCTTTTCCCTAGATGGGAAAGAGAAGAGTCAAAGAGAATGCTTGGTCACATAAAAATGTGAAAATAATCAAAATCAATATTTATGTGCTGGTGATATGTAAGAGAAATCACTTTCAAAGAAGCTGAATTTCATAAACAAATTCTTCTAGAGGCCTGTGCTTCAGAGGACCACACTAATTCAAAGATGAATGTAAATAAGCATCTTTGTTGATTAAGAAAAAAATATGAACACCATATTTTCATTACTCTACAAAACCTAAATACTCAAACTCATCATATACCGGTGCTTGCTAATCTAAATTAATTCTGTCCTCCAGGGATAAATATTCTCAAAAAGGAAATTTAACTTTAAGCAAAATCTGAAATGTTGTTTTAGATATGAATTTCTAGAAATCCAAAGTATATTTATTTCTTTGAGTCAGACACTTGTTTGTTTTGCAATCATTATATGAAACAATTTTGGAATAGCGCAGATGCTCTCCCCGCCCCTTGTTTCAGATTGCTTGCATATGCAGTCATAGGCTTGAGAGCTTCCAGGGTATAGTAAGGAAATGACACTTTTCTCATTTGTTTTAACAAAAGGCCCAAAGAATCTTTAAACCTGAAGATATTATGGTAGTTGAAAAAAATCTTTAAAAATAATGAGCACTATTGTGTGTTTTTTCTATTAAAATGTGCTGAATGAATAATTAGAGGCTATGATGAAGGTTGAAAATTCAGATCAAGAATAAGGTAATAATTTTATTGTTTAATACTTTTTATAATTTTTATAATTAGTGATGTAGCTTTAAAGTTGGCAAAGCTTTCTTAGAAAAAGTAAAGTACTCCTCCCACACCATCAAAAGTACTTTAGATAGAACGAAATAGAATCAGGTAGAACTGGTAGCAGAGCTTGTTCATTATTTATTCCAGTAGTAGTAGTATTAGTAGAGTTGAAATATATACTTTTAATTATGCATTTTGAGCTCTGATTGCAGGTTAGAAGACTAAAATCGATCATTCCTACATCGATAGTGTTGTCTATTACTGCATTGATTTGTTTATTTATGCAGAGGCTTTCCGTTATTTACTTACATATTTCAGCATCTGCCTCTTGATTATTATCACAGGTTGGCTTTAATGAAGCGCTTTTATAGGAAACACACTTGACAGATCAATTTTAAGTAAACCAGGTAGTGAATTACGGCAACCCAAAGAGTTTTCGAAATTACTTATTCGCACTTACTTTTTAGCAATTAGGAAATTGTTTCTGATTAAAACCTCATGCTACTTGAAAACTTCCATTCTTCTCTTCATATATAGTATTGATGTGTTTCAGTAAAATAGAAAAACATAATTTTATGATATCAGATATGATAGAATGAAACTGATGAATAAGCCCTTGTTGTCTTTTTCCATTGGCACGACTAGGTTACTCTCATAACAATAAGGTGGTCCCTGGGTTTACTAATACTGTAGATGAAAAATCAAGGAGCAGCAGGATTCAAATATAGAAATGACCTTGTTTTAAAATCTGTCAACTCTTAAGTTATGCCAGGGGTACTTATGCTGAACAGGATATTCCAGAGTTCTTCGGTACATATTAAATACATACACTCATCTAGTCTATTATTTAGTGTACGTGTACCATCATACCTTATAATGACAGGCATTTCTCTTGAACTAATAGCTCATATGTGAATGTTATGTATCAGGGCTCATTTGAATAAATATGACAACTAAAGACCACAGAGTGTGTCTTATAAGTACAAGGCAATAGCAGGAGATTGTCAAGCGTTTGAATTTGTGCTTCTCTTATTGTCATTACAAAATGTTGAAAGGTGACTTGGAAATTGAAAAAATAAAATAGCTTAATTTATCAAGGGCTATTTACTCCTCATTTTGTAAGAGTTTTCTTGCAGTTTGGGCGATGAATATTTCCTTGCTAATCATTTGGAATACATCTACCAAAGACAGTTTATAGTTCTATTTACCATTTCTTGACTCCCCCACACCTTCTAGTATTTGAGAGGAATATTGGGAGGGAAATTAACCGAATTCTTTCTTGAAGACGGAAGGGTCTTGGGAGATGGAAAAGGAATTAATCTCCTCACCCTGGCGAGTTTTCCTGAAACTACTTAACCTCAGCATCTGCGCTGTGAGAGGTGGAGCCTCGCAGTCCCGTGGCTGCTGACAGAAGGTGCGCAAGCCGGGGGACCTCAAGCTTTGCAGAGGGTTGAAAGGATGAACGGAGGGAGGAGAGCTTTGAGTTTATTTTGTGTCCTATGCCAAGCCCTTGAAGTTAGCACAGGACCATGGCCTTTTAGGACCAAGCACTTGGCATTCTTTTGGGATTGAGATTCCAGAGCATCGGACGAACAGGATTTATAGCTAGGGCGTGCTTCTTCCACCCCTCCCTCCGTCTTTTTATGCACGTACCAGCTCGTCCTCACGTGCATCAGGGTAGTGGACAGTGTTGACTTGAATTGCTCTTGCTTGCACCAAGCCTTTCCTGTGAATGAACCCGAAAACACTCGACAGGTCGTGAATAATCGTTTTAATGAGTGTGCAAAGCGTGCGACGGGGTGCACCGAGCTGTCGGGTTAAA